CCCCCCCCCCCCGCTTCTACTGTGTTTTCCCGCTTGAAATTCCTCACGCCTTTGTCCTGGTCTCACGGTTGCTTGACCTTGTTGGCGCCTCTGCCTACATAATGGCTTGGGCATCTTCCTCCCCCTTTTCTCCTAACTTTGATGGCAGGAACAAGCAAGCGGGCCTCCAATTAACCATTCTAACATTTAACCCTGTCACCTATGCATCACTAGTCTACGTTTAATTAAGCTTTGATTTCTAGCTTGCGCAGATCCTGACAACTGCCTTGAGACAAGAAACAGATCACTACCGCTGTGAGTTGAGCCTCCACTAAGTTGGATCAGCTCCATGGTTGCCATGGTGCCATAAATCCCAGACCATCTCTGAATCATGAGTCTAGGGAACTCCACCGGCATCCTCTGCCTGATGCCACACTCAAAACGCGGGTTGCTAGATGTGGCCTCAATTGTCCTCCAAGAGGCCTGGGCAAAACGGTCTTGGTGTTGCTGTTCTTGAAGGTCCTGAAGTAGACCAACTGGAACACGGGTAGCAGCAAATCTTTCTGGAGGTATGACAACGGCAGGCCGAGAGTCAGTGTCTGAGCGTGCACATTCAGCTTCCCGGAGAGGGCATTCGCATGCTTGTCAGGGCTTGTTATGGCTGCTGGGGATGTACGTAATTTCAAAATTAAAATTAATTTAAAATTAAAGCGGGAGAAGAAGAGCAACCATCAGGTTTGTTTTTGTCAATACCTCAAACCCACATGCCCCAAGGTGATAGAAACATGATCCAGGGAGAGGCTCTTAATTTGGATTACAGTTTGCTGAAGTTCCCAGAGAGGATCCCGGGTTACAGGGAGGATCGGTGTGTGCGCGTCACTTTAAGGAAGCTGTCCTCTGGAGTGGCCCTCCTCATCTCTGACTTCTTAGAAAGCCCCTTGCTTGACTTACAGCAAAGGACAGTATTCTTTGAGAATGCTATTGCCGCACTATGCACACGTTGCAGGAAGCATCTGTGAACGTTTAGTTATAGAGTTGCTTCCTCTGATCTCACTGACACTGAAAGTACATAAGGAAGAACACCAAAGTAGGAATAAAGTATGGCCCCCGAGTGACCAACCTAATGCGTGAAAACTGATATTGCTGTAGCATGCAGGCAAACACAATACTTTGCTCAGGTAGGTCTTGCTCAAAGTACGGAAGCTAGTTTGGAAGGTCAGCTGCTGTCAGGTATATGCGACTGTTCTTTTCGCTTTGTTTTCCTAGGCTTCTATTTAGGTTTATGTATAATGCTTGCTTTGCAAGTCTCCCATTGACTTCTTTGAGCCTGCACCAAGATTTCACTGAGTGTCTGTTTCTACACCGGCAGAGTGCAACCACCCTGGGATTGGGACTTATCTTTGCTCTTTGGGGACTGCTAGTTTGCACCTTCCAGCGTCATATGGAAGCTATATAACTTTGTTTCCAGTGGCTCCAGTGGCGTCGCGTGGACTAATCATGCTGGCTGGACGGTCATCCCGGCGGCAAGCCCTCTGCTGCTCATTACGGGAGACCCCTCCCACCGACTGTTTCGCCGGCGGTTTGCGACCAAAGGCAGAGGCGGAAGGCGAGGAGGAAATCACAGCCCATCCCACCCCACCCCAGGTACTGTGTCTGCTGCTTGCTCCTACCCAGATGCGACGTGACGGAGCCATTTCAAGATGCTGTTTCAGCTTATTTTGCTCCTGTTTTTCAGCTGGAAGACCAAGACTTCAGGAGGGGGATGGGAAAAGATTTGGGCCCTGCAGATTTGCAGCTTGCCTGTTTGAACGTTACTTCTGCTTAAGTAGTCAATCAAATTGCTTTGTATGGAAGTGAGAGTTGGGAATGCGAGGAAAGAACACTGTGAGCTGGGTAAGGGTGAGTGTGGGAACGAAGGGCGAATGAAGCGAAGATGGAGATACAGGGTCAGGAATGAACGTGTGACGTCGAGATGGTTTGAAAGTCGACGTGGAGTGAATCGCAGAAAGGACTTGTTTCGTTCCCAGGTTTGCTCTGTTGCTGCGACCCCAACCCCTGGGCCAAACAGTAAAGGAGCAGGATGGAAACAGGGGTGATCCTGCTGCAAACAGGATCAGAAGTTACATGTTTGGGGACCACCCCATATATCTTTGCATTTGCAACCGCATCAGTCCCTCAGAGGTGGGGGTACCAGAAGAATACGGAAACCATTTCCTTAGCTGGAGTCATTAGCAGCTAAAGGATCTAGAATGGTACCAGATCAGTGCCTAAGGACTACCGTTACTGTCTCGGCTTTAGCCTCCAGCCAGAGAGTTGCGGGATTATTGGGTTTGGTTTGTTTGTCAACACCTCAGACCCATCTGCCCCGAGGCACTAGCAACGAGAATGCTCTTAATTTGGATGACTGCGTGTTGAAGACCCCCGACGGGCTTCCAGGTTACAGCCAGGATTGGTGTGTATGCTTGACTAAGGAAGCCGTCCTCTGGAGTGGCCCTCCTTACTTTTGACTTCTTAGAAAGCCCCTTCCTTGAATTACAGCAAAGGAACATGATCATGATCATGATGCTATCCGTTCGATCATGTCTGATTCTCGGCGATTCTATGGACTGGCTTTCTCTACATTTTCCGATCTTGCACGGCGTCTTTCAGTTGTTTTATGTTCTGGTTGGTGTCGGCTTTGATGGTGTCTAGCCACTGTTTTTTGGTGGCCTCGTTTCCTTTTACCACTGACCATTCCGAGCATAACTGCCTTTTCCGGTGAGTTTGATCGCGTGACATACCCGACATAAGCAAGGCGGAACTTTGTGATTTTGCCTTCCGGCAATATGTCTGGTTTTATAGGCGCCAGAACTTTCGTGTTTGTCACTTTTGCTGTCCAGGGAATACACAGGAGTCCTCTCCAACACCAGAGCTTGAGCGAGTCGATTTTCCTCCTGTCGAGTTTTCATGGTCCAACTTTTGCAACCGTAGGGAGCTATGGGAAACGCGATAGCGCGGACTAATCTGCATTTCATTGCCAGGCTGACGTTCTTGCTTTTCCATATTCAGTTCATGCTCATCATTGGTGTGCGACCCAGTGTGATTCGACGCTTTATTTCTGGACTGCATTCACTGCTTTGATCAATCTGCAATCCTAGGAAA